AAATCCTTTTTCACCAGGCTGAGAGACAAAGATAAAAACTAACAAGATAGTTACTCCTAAAATCCTTTTTCACCAGGCTGAGAGGCAAAGATAAAAACTAACAAGATAGTTACTCCTAAAATCCTTTTTCACCAGGCTGAGAGGCAAAGATAAAAATTAACAAAATAGTTACTCCTAAAATCCTAAAATGCTTAAAGAGACTGCAAAGGGTAATAATAAGGGTTCCTCCATGGTAAAGATGGTAATGTCCAATTCACGTACTTAACGGTACCCTTGAACCCTTAATCTGATCAAAAATGTGGAGGATACGGTCGTTTTTCTGACTAAAAACATGTTAATTTCTGTGCTCCAATGCATCTTATAAACAAGAAATGCGGAAGCCACTTTTGCAGAAAAGCTGCAAATTCACATAAACAGTTTAAAGAAAACAAAACATGAATTTACATAATTCATCCTTGATCAGACAAAGCTTTGAAGTGTGCGGTTGTATTTCAGGCGTTTATTTCTTTGTCACTTGAAATTACGCTTACAGTCTCTTTAAAATAAATTTACATATTTTTTAAGGTATTCGGGCTGGACTTTTAGTGATTGCTCAGGCACTCTTTGTGGGAAACTACTTTCTGGTGGATACTTATGCACCTGAGATACTACCTACCCCTGTCAGGTATATACTTATACACCTCTGAGATACTACCTAGCCCGGTCAGGTATACTTATGCACCTGAGATACTACCTACACCTGTCAGTATATACTTATGCACCTGAGATACTACCTACACCTGTCAGGTATATACTTATGCACCTGAGATACTACCTACCCCTGTCAGGTATACACCTGAGATACTACCCACCCTGTCAGGTATATACTTATGCACCTGAGATACTACCTACCCTGTCAGGTATACTTATGCACCTGAGATACTACCTACCCTGTCAGGTATATACTTAAGCACCTGAGATACTACCTACACCTGTCAGGTATTATACTTATGCAACTGAAAAACTACCTACCCCTGTCAGGTATACTTATGCAACTGAAAAACTACCTACATCTGTCTGGTATATACTTATAATGCATCTACCTAGAATACACTACCTACCCCCGACTTTAAGGTACAGGGTGTCCCACGAAACATGACAGTTAGTGAAAGGTTTTTGGGTAGACTACATTACTATACAGAGGGATACATTATAATCTATAGTCCTTAAATCGGGACTACAGTGGACTACAAAGAGGAGTAGTATCAGGAGACTACTCAGGACTTCAGAGAATAATACAGAATTAACTATACAGAGGATACAGACGGGATACATTATATTATATTATATCGGCCGCTACATAGTAAACTTAATATAGGATAAAACAGCATTTTTAAGGCCACGGGGGGAGGGCAAAAAATCGCCTGGAGGGAGACAAATTTCTTTTGCCCCACCTGGTTTAAATCCTTTATACGCACCTGCAAAGCCCCCTTGGAATGTCAAAAAAAGTTTTAAAACCTCCTGGACAAATTTCTGAAGACGTCGCTTATAAAAATGATAGAAAGAAGAATAATCTTCAGGACTTTATTATTTATAAAAAGCAAAGAATAGAATTGTAATCAAAGTTTTCTAAAAGTTCTATGAAATTAAGATGGTTATATTTTTTTATATGTAGAATTTTTCGTTAATGTCGTCAAACACCCCCCCTTCCCCATCCCACTATGTCTTTTAAAATTCCTATATTATTCCTCTCTACCCTTTCTTAATTCTCTTCACTCCTGACACCAATATAAACCGTTCAGACGTCTGAAATAACAAAGACGACATTTAAGATTTTAAATCTGGCGCTACAGCTGTTTATTTGGTCTGTCAAGCTGAGATACTTATATACAAAGATGAAGCTGTCATTATTGCATCAGCTGTTGCTGAGACCTGGACTTCCTTTTGTATTTTTTCATCATTAATTTAAGTTTGTTCTCCGTTTAAAAAATATCTAATGATTTAAAAAATGCAAAGAAAAATATTTTTCTATTTTTTTTAGTAGTTCCAGTGTTTGTTTATCGATCCTTGAAGAATCAGCTGACAGAATGATTCAGTCAGAAACTGCGCATCTATTCACCACTAACTACACAAAGAAACACAGATATCAAATATGAAGTGGCAATACAAGGTATTTATTGTTTTAATAAGTTTTATCAGCTAGTTATTATAGCGTAGATACACATTTTATGATATAGTAAAGACGGGCGGGGGGAAAGAGGGTAAAATAAAAAAGTTAGACGTATTCAAGTTATTTCGTAATTTATTGATAAAACAAATTGATTGTAAGAACTCCCATAGTTTTCAGAAGTGTTCTAATGCATTATAGTTACAATTATTTGTGTAAAAGAATCAACTTTTTCCGTATTTAGCTGAAAAATCTTAAAACTGCGATCTTTCATTGCGATTAAAATTCCGTTAAAATGAACTTTCTGTTTTCTTCTTTAGTTTGTACTTACCTTTTTCAAATCAAAAATTGGTAAGAGAACGATTTTTTACCTAAACCCCCCACCCTCCTATCAATTTTGTACATGGATCTATCATGTTCAGGAGTACCCCCCGCAGTGTTTGGATCTATTCTGATCGTTTCTAGCCTGTGTTTCTATTTCCTCCCGGAGACTAAGGATCGAGCTTTACCAAGCTCAGCAGAGGAACTAGAGATAGACAGAGGAGAATCTATTCTCAGGATACCAAGGTTAGATACAGGGGAATTGTTGTCGTCTTTATTCCATCTTAAAGTTATTAAATTGGGTAATGTTTATGTTAACTGATTTATTTATAAAACATGGGGGCCTTGCTCATAACATTTCCAAGTCATATATAACTTAACAAATAAAAAATACAAAATCCTTGACGACATCTTAAAGTTGAAAGAACGAAGAAGACAATCATTCCTCACTTTTCTGGTTATTACTGTTTAGATAGTCATTTGATAATGATACAAATAATGCATATACTGAAACATTCCTTTCTTTTTTTATAGAAATTTTCATTAGTTTATCATTTTCAGGATTTTAATGGGGGGGTGTGGCATGGCGCATGATGCTTTGTAAATCAGTTATTAATTGTGAATTGCGTCACTCACTATACTATTGCCTAATTATTATTTAAGTCGTAGTTAATCAAAATATTAATTGCGTATTTGTTCATAACATATATTGCGTCATTATTATTTCATGCACTATTTATGTAATGCATGATCTTTGATTTTGTTTTTTTTACGTAATAAATTTGATGAAGCCATATTACACAATTAATTTTTGTTTTCATATTTAAATTTGGATATTTTTGACGATTTCACTAGTATGTAATCTCTTAAAAAACCAAAAAAATCAAATTACAAATCTAAATTTCCCCTCACGTTAGGGTAATTATTTTTGAGTTGTGGAAAATAACTTAATAAATCCTCCCTCCCCCCGCCAGCCTAATTGAATTTTTGTTTAATCTCGTTTTGTTTGTATAGGAAGAACACCCCTTTGAGAAGAGGAGAGCGGAGGGCGAGAAGATTAGAAGGAAATATCCAGACAGGGTTCCCGTCATAGTTGAGAAGAGTCCCAAGGCCAGGATTGGGGACCTGGACAAGAAGAAGTACCTCGTCCCTTCAGGTTTCAATTATTTCCTTCAAGGGATTGTTAACATATATGATGATGAACAAAACACTCCAATTTAAAAGCGGGTTTCAAAAGTTAGAATGTAAATATTTATATTCTGCCACTTCTAAAAAGTAAATATTAATATTTCCTTAATATGTAACAGCTCGCAGACAAGCGTTTCCGTAGAGAAATCAGTTCATCAATCAAAGGTTTCAACAGGGGTGTATATTTTTGAAAATGACCCTTAAAAAATTCTTCCACTCCGCGCAAACATACCTAACTTCGGGAAAAGTGGATTTTCAGAAGAGAGGGGGGGGGGAGGTTAATGGTTTTTCAGGAATATTAACACCCCTGCGTTTAAAAGGTACCGTTGTGAATTGTAGAAGCCCTTTAAATCTCTTCTTTGAGGAAATGATTACATTTGAGCTTGTGTTCATTTTACAGAATTGTGTTTCTGTCAAAGAATAACTGTAAGATGAAACCTAAGCTTTATATATTTAAACTATTATCTTATATCCTTTTAGTGTTTGTAGAAAAAATAACATCTAAAAAAACACCAGTGTATTTATACTGACAATTTCTTAACCCTATTTCAGGAGAACTTATTAAAACTAAGTATATTGTTAAAGATTATTGTTAAGATGTTATTGTTCAGAACTATGTTCAATCAGGGTTCCATATAGTTTCATTTTTGATTAAACGGGATCGGGTTGAAAATACATTTGGGGCTTGAAAATACACTTTCTGTGTCAATGTGAACTTTTGCATAAACTGAAATCATGAACATGTTGGTATTTACCATTAAATAAATACGTTTTTTTTAGCTTTTTGCTGTACACCTTTTGCTCGAGTTTTTTACTTTATTCATTTTTCATTTTCGGCTCATTTTCACTTTATGCGCACGCATTACACTGAAATCATGCACAGTCCGATACCAGCCTCACACCTCAAGTGACTCTTTTGTTTAGCATGTACGATTAAAATTAAAACTTAATTTCATGAGCTGTTGCCTTAATTTCATGAGCTGTTGCCTTAATTTCATGAGCTGTTGCTTTAATTTCATGAGCTGTTGCCTTAATTTCATGAGCTGTTGCCTTAATTTCATGAGCTGTTGCCTTAATTTCATGAGCTGTTGCCTTAATTTCATGAGCTGTTGCTTTAATTTCATGAACTGTTGCTTTAATTTCATGAGCTGCTGCTTTAATTTCATGAGCTGTTGCCTTAATTTCATGAGCTGCTGCTTTAATTTCATGAGCTGTTGCTTTAATTTCATGAGCTGTTGCTTTAATTTCATGAGCTGTTGCCTTAATTTCATGAGCTGCTGCTTTAATTTCATGAGCTGCTGCCTTTAATTATTGCACACATTTGTCAAGATTTAAGAAATAAGATATCAATATGTGCTAAATTTTATAATTCAATGGAATATATCCACATCATAAAGCTTTTCAACTTTTTTTCAACATTTCAAAATGTCGTCATCTAAATGCAAGTTTGGCCCACTTTAGCATTTAATCACTTTGGCTTTTTAGATAGTTATTATTAATATTTAATTTTAGGAGCATCATGAAGAAGATTTTTTCCTGTACATAGCCTACTCTGATGAGAGTGTGTACGGTCAATAAGCAAGTATTCTACTGTGTCCCATGTACACAGGCATAAACAACTGTACAGTGAACGGTACGGTACAGCTGTGTTAGATCCCAAAATGTCTAAAACACTTTGAGGGATTTTGCATCCGCTTAATTGGCAAACCCGGAATATTACAGTGTAGTTTACTTGCACCGTGTACTGCAAGTGTTCAGTGTACACACGACAGTACGTATGCTGGTGTACTGTCTTCAAATTACAAAAATTACAGTATAAACGTTTCCCCCTTGTCTTAGTTTATTGTATTTACAAAACTCGAAATCTTAATAAAAAAATACAAAAATGAGAAAAATGTGATAAAAAAATATTCCTGTCTTTCTTTTTTTCCGTAGCATATTAGAGGCAGGAACTGTTGTGGTTTGAGAAAGATATATAATTAGTCTGTTAAATTTTAAATTCTGACAGTCGCTTCACCATCTTCTGTGGTACAGTGGTACAGTTGTACAGTTGTACTGATGTACAATTGTACATGAGAAATGGTGACTGATGCCTTCATGAATCATTAAGTTGTTTTGTGCTTCGAAAATATACATTGTCAATTCTTTTGATTATTTTCTTCTGAAATATACCAATAAAGCACCAAGAAATGATTATTTTTTATTTGAAATACGGATTTATTATTTGATTTTGTTTTACTATTTACAATTTCCTGTGTGAAGTGAGTGGTTTTTGTCATGACTAGGCTTTTCCATTTTCTATTTTGATTGTGAACATTTTCTCTTGGACAAGCCCTGGCTTGACTTGATTTTTATACATTGTAAAACAAAAACAAAAATGTTTGAATTAAAAAAAATTAAATTAAACTCGACATTTGTTTGAGGCTAATTTTTGAAATTTTGATCATTCATAAACCTTCCCTGGGGTCATGTGAGCTCCAACATAAAATTTGGGCCTGATCGGTTCAGTCGTTAAGATGGTTTTTAGAAATAAGAGACAAGCGAAGTATATACATATATAGATTAACCTAGTTAATTCTTAATCCTCAAACAGCAAGAAACTGTTGAAAGTTGAAATCAGGGTTTTATATTAATCTAATAATAAATAAATTGAATAATGAATATATCCTAGATTTTATACTTCGGAATGTCTAGCATGAATAAGTAAGGATGCAATTCAAACCACTGGACTCCATTTATAGACAGGGTAGGTACGAATAAGAGAGGGTGAAATACTTTCGGTTTCTTCTTAATTTTAACCGTGTTATGTGAGCAGGGGGGAAGGCACACCACACCATGTTTAGTCCGCAACCCACAAATGACGGTAACAATTTACAATTATTCCTTCCGACCATACACATTTTTTTCAAATTTAGGTACTTCAAGTTATTTAATATAATTTGATTTTGTTTGAAAAAGTAAACTATATTTAAGCCCTTGTCAAAACGGAAAATCCCTATTTTCGTCCGAACTACGATTTTTTTAATTTTCCCGTTTAAGGTGATATCGCTGGGATTTTAAAATCTACAAATCTAAAAATTAACATATTTTTGGTAAGGAGCAAAGCAAGTGGTTTTGATTTGCTCGAGGTATTATGAAATAAAAATCTCCATGAATAGTTTTAAGCTTATTATACCTTCTATAAAAAAACAGGATGAAATATTTTTAACCATTATATATACAGCACGAAATGGCTCGACTAAAATAAAGTACTTTAAAAAAGAATGTAAACAATGCCAGACGAAAAATTTTTGTCGGACGAAAAAAGGTGTGATGGCGTGCCTTCGCTCCCTCGTGTTGGTCTGTAATTCAAAATTTTTAAAAGTTGATATATCTTTTAATTTAATTTGCTCTTGGTGACAAGTAAAAACTTAAAACTTTAAAAATTATGTTCAGTAGGTCAAGAGCTGATCGATGAACAGATCTCACTGGGTCAGTGAATCAAATGCTAAACCAGACGAGGGGGGGAGTGCAGAAGTAAACAAACGGCACCCAAACGTGTTTGGCGGCATGTGCGCTCCTCAATTGGTAATCATAATCAGAAATAGAAAAGTTAACATGAAACCGTTTATTTCTTAGAAATAAGACATTGAGTTGACCTCTGTTAATGGCCCCACGGTGTACAATATTCTGAAAGCTTTCTTTATTGATCCTCTTTTTCGACCTTTAGACGAATTGATTGAAAATCATTTCTTGATTTTCTTGAAATGATGAATATTTCTAACGAAATATTCAATGAGTTATATAGTGGAAGATTTTCCAAAAAGTCGTCTTTGACATCGCAATTTTCGTTTCAGACATACAGAGTCCAATCTCTATAGATAGTGGTCATATAGTGGTTATGTAGTTCACGTAATACTTTGGGGGACGATAGTTTGGTCGCTAGATGTCTCTCGTATAAATTATATACAGTGAAACCCTTAGTAACGAATACATCATAAGAATTCATCAAATGTCGTATTCTTCACTTTCTGATAATGGAATGTTGCAGATATTTAGATTCTTAATAAAATGAAAATATGAAACTCTTTAAAACTGTTCCCGCATATTCATGGCTATTTAATTATTTTCGCAAATGCTGAAATTTACGTAATATAGTATAAAACTCATTGAAAAATTGTCAAGACGACATTTGATAAATTCTTCCGATGTATTCATTATGAAGGGTTTTACTGTATTAGATAAGAATTTTGCAAATATACACAAATTTATACTGTGCATGCAATTGGACTAAACTTTTACTTTCCCGCCAGGATATACTTTTTACCAATTAACTTTTAAAAAAATTTTAAGGATTTTATTTTACGTATTTTTACGTATTTCGTTTTTTTTCTTTACTTAAAAATTGTAATTTTTACAGTTTAAAAGTTTTATGCAAACTTAAAAAATATTTAAAATTTTTAAAAAAATAAATTATTTTTCAAGAGACTTGTTATTTAAGAAATTTAATGCAAACATTTTGGTAAATACAATGTTTCAATATTTCTATCATTTTGGAGTAAATTGATGTTTTCATTAGAATTAATATCAGTAAATTCTCGATTTTTTGGTAAATAGAAGTTTTACTATATCTGTCTTGTGTAGAAGATTGGATTGGAATGGATTGAAAATTATTGAAATCTAAAGAAAATGGATTTAAGAAATTTGTGGAACATAGTTGTATAGATTCTCGAAGGAACAATGTGAATGCAAACTTGAAGTCAACTTCTTAACATTTTGGTTTTAGAACTTGAATATGCCTTAAAAATACGTATAAGGAAAAACTTAAAAATTCCAGATTCGTTTGATTTTTTAGGTTTTTTTTCTTTTTTTTTTACTTCTAAGTTTGTCATATACGTATTTTTACGGATATAAAATACGTATTTTTACCTAGGAAGTGGTTAAGAAAATATCTTTGTTATGTGTATGGAAAATACGTGATTTTATGTATCCCAAACCTAAAAATATGTACGAATGTCATACATATTATTATCAGATCTCTGTAAACTATATTTACAGGTAAACTATATTTACAGGTAACTATATTTACAGGCAACTATATTTACAGGTAACTATATTTGCAATGTAGAACGTAGAAGACAATTGACAACCATTAATTATATAATTTAAACTTCTCTTTTACAGTATTAACTTAAATCAGTATTTTTGTTTCTACTGTTATGTAAAATTTACTTAAATTAAACTTATTTTCATTGGAAATAATTTAATTAGCCATAAAAATACTATATATAAAGCAGAAACCATATGTCGTCATTAGGGTTTCCAGCAAAAAGGGGAAATCTTTTCGCGAAAATTTGCACTTTTACGCATTTCGTTCGAGCGAAAAATGCGAAAATTTCCGCGAAAAAGAATTGCGAAAATTTCACGAAAAAGAATTTCGTGAAAAAGCTAATGGGAAGATTTGTTGGAAAAAAATACGGAGGAGAAATTATTAATCATTATATAATTAAACTTTTAATGCTGAGCAGAGAATTCCACAAGTTTTTTGCGCAATTAATTGTTGCCGCCACAAAACTCGTTAAATTTTGCATCGTTTTTGCATGTTTTCGCTTAATTCATTTTCGCGAAAAAAATTCTAATTTGACGAAAAAGTTTGCGAAATACTGACAAACATTTTCGCATTATTTCGCGAAAGTTTTCGTTCGCTGGGAACCCTAGTCGTCATCAAAGTATATTCTTTTGTGCACAACAAAACTTTTTTTTCTGATTCGTTAGACATTTTCTAGATGCGATTTAGCTTCGACTTCCTCGCCTATCTAGCCTAGGAAATCGCAGCGAAATTATTCACAGCTAGAAAATGTTTAACAAATCGGATACATAATAATTGTAGAATTTTTGAAGAATTTTTACATAATCATATAATATTGTAGTTAATCTATAGATTGCTTTTTACAAGTTACAAAATACAAGTTGTTTACTTTATTATCTAATGATTGATCCATAAAGCTGTGGACTAGCAACACGAAGAATCAAACTATGATTTAAAAAGTCAAAATGTAAATAGAAAACAGCAATTGTTAAGTTTGCTGTGCAAATCGACCCATATATGAATTAATATGTTAATATGTTGCTTTTTAACAAGAAAAAATACAAGATTACTTGAATGTCGTATTCCTGCTCCACACAGCTAGTATTTTACTGAATCATAAATAATAAGCTTATTACTAACTAAATGAAGTTTCGCTTTGAAAACTATTGACACGCTTTTTATGAACTATTTGAACATCATTAGGAAGAGCATCATGAACGAATTGTTCTGTATGATGCTTATCATGAACATGCTTTTGCTGAACTACATGATCATCATAAACATATTTTTGTTTAACAAATTGATCATGATCATCACGATCAAGTTTCTTCCGAGTTAGTTGATCACCATGACGATCCTTTTTCTGAACTACTTGATCATTCAGGCTAAAGTGCTGAGTGTAATCATTGTGAATATTATCAACCACATAAACTATGTTTATACTCTCTGCTCTCTGTTCACTCTGTTGATTATATATTCTTTGTTTCTCCAGTTCAACCGACATATTGTAAGGATCAACGAGACTATTGTAAGGATTATCGAGACTATTGTAAGGATTATCGAGACTATTGTAAGGATTATCGAGACTATTGCCAGGATTTAATTCTGTTCTTACTGGAGTGGAATCTGAATCGTTCTTCTCAATGCGCAGTGCTGAAAAAAATATGAATTATGTCACAAAAATTGTTTGTCTAAAAAAAGAAAATGGAAAATTACATTTCTTAGAACAGTATGATTGACATTTTTAGGAAATGATCTGTAGATTTGTCTCAAATCTGGAGAAAGAGATGGAGATTGCATTCGATGAAAAAGGAGAAGAAGGTCAAGAGGTACAACTGGGGTACTTTCTGTGTGAGAGNAGTGGAATTTGACCTCCTACTTCTGTCAAGTGGAATTTGACCTCCTACTTCTGTCAAGTGGAATTTGACCTCCTACTTCTGTCAAGTGGAATTTGACCTCCTACTTCTGTCAAGTGGAATTTGAATTGGTTTGAAAACACCATGGATTAAAATTATAATATAGAACAAAAATATAGATTACAGGACGCACACAAATATAGATTATATAGGACGATTAAAAATATAGATTGTAGGAAGATTAAAAAAATAAATTATTATAGGATGAACAAATATATAGATTATAGGACGAACACAAATATAGATTATAGGACGAACAAAAATATAGATTATAGGACGAACAAATATATTGATTATAGGACGAACAAAAATATAGATTATAGGACGAACAAAAATATAGATTAAAGGACGAACAAAAACATAGATTATAGGACAAACAAATATATTGATTATAGGACGAACAAAAATATAGATTATAGGACAAACAAATATATAGATTATAGGACGAACAAATATATTGATAATAGGACGAACAAAAATATAGATTATTGAACGAACACAAATATAGATTATAGGACGAACAAAAATATAGATTTTAGGAGGAACAAAAGTATAGATTATTGGACGAACAATAAAAAAGATTATAGGACGAACAAATATATAGATTATAGGACGAACAAATATATTGATTATAGGACGAACACAAATATAGATTACAGGACGAACAAAAATATAGATTTTAGGACGAACAAAAATATAGATTATTGGACGAACAAAAAAAAGATTATAGGACGAACAAATATATAGATTATAGGACGAACAAATATATTGATTATAGGACGAACACAAATATAGATTATTGGACGAACAAATACATAGATTATAGGACGAACAAATATATTGATTATAGGACGAACACAAATATAGATTATTGGACGAACAAAAATATAGATTATAAGACGAACAAAAATATAGATTTTAGGACGAACAAAAATATAGATTATTGGACGAACAAAAAAAAGATTATAGGACGAACAAAAATATAGATTATAGGACGAACTAAAATATAGATTATAGGACGAACAAAAATATAGATTATAGGACGAACAAAAATATAGATTATAGGACGAACAAAAATATAGATTAAAGGACGAACAAAAATTATTATCAAAAACCATAATAAGTTCAATACACCAAGGGTATGAATAAGAAGAGATTGTTTATATCTTATCTTTCATATCTATCATTTTTGTGTTTTTTTTTCTTTTTATGACTGTTTGGTTGTTTGTGTTCTTATTTTGACTTTCCTAATTTTCCTATTTTACCTATTTTTCCTATTTTTTCTAGTGTTCCTAGTTTTCCTAGTTTTCCTAGTTTTCCTAGTTTTTCTAGTTTTCCTAGTTTTCCTAGTTTTCCTAGTTTTCCTAGTTTTCCTAGTTTTCCTTGTTTTCCTAGTTTTCCTAGTTTTCCTTGTTTTCCTAGTTTTCCTAGTTTTCCTAGTTTTCTTAGTTTTTCTAGTTTTCCTTGTAATTTCCTAGTTTTTCTAGTTTTCCTTGTTTTCCTAGTTTTTCTAGTTTTCCTAGTTTTCCTAGTTTTCCTAGTTTTTCTAGTTTTCCTTGTTTTCCTAGTTTTCCTAGTTTTCCTAGTTTTCCTAGTTTTCCTAGTTTTTCTAGTTTTCCTTGTTTTCCTAGTTTTCCTACTTTTCCTAGTTTTCCTAGTTTTTCTAGTTTTCCTAGTTTTCCTAGTTTTCCTTGTTTTTCTAGTATTTCTAGTTTTCCTAGTTTTCCTAGTTTTCCTAGTTTTCCTAGTTTTCCTTGTTTTCCTAGTTTTCCTAGTTTTCCTAGTTTTCTTAGTTTTTCTAGTTTTCCTTGTAATTTCCTAGTTTTTCTAGTTTTCCTTGTTTTCCTAGTTTTTCTAGTTTTCCTAGTTTTCCTAGTTTTCCTAGTTTTTCTAGTTTTCCTTGTTTTCCTAGTTTTCCTAGTTTTCCTAGTTTTCCTAGTTTTCCTAGTTTTCCTTGTTTTTCTAGTATTTCTAGTTTTCCTAGTTTTCCTAGTTTCCTAGTTTTCCTAGTCTCGACGTGGTTTTTACTATTGTTATTTCATGATCTTGATATTTTTATTGCTTATTGCAATACTTTTTAAAAAATCTGTCATTTCCTCTCCCCCCTTCGCCCCTACACCTTCACTATTTTAGATTTGTCTGTTAACCATTCATGTTTCGTAATTTCCCCCCACCCCCCACCCTTTTCTATGCCTAATTTTATTTGACAGTGCAAGACTAGCTCCTCATTCTTAAAGTTGACCAATAATTTTTTTTTATTTCTTTTCTCATTTAAAAATTTCTATATTAATATTAGTCAAATCAGTCCTAGGACTGATGATGATTCAAAAAAAACATCGAAATATTTTTCCAACTTTGAAGTTGTACATTCCTATAGTTCCTACAGATACAGAACCCTTTTTAACAAATTCAGATTTTTACAATAAAATCCACCAAAGTTGAAAATACACGATGGGTTGACAAGGATAAATTTATCCTGAGTTCATAAAATGTGGTAATTTTGCAAATAAAAGATCCCTTTAAATTAAGGTTTCTTACCTTGTTTATTATTTACTGTAATTTTCTCCGAAATAACATTATTTAGTTTACAGGGATAGCAGAGAGAAGGATAGGTACACAGAAGAATACGAATCAGGGCTACAAAAAAAACACACAAATATAGATTATT